TTACGCCGCGGATCAAAACCCCACTGCAACACGGGCTTGGGGCTTGCTTGTTTTACCCGATCAAGACGTCTGGCTTTCCTTTTGGTGAGCGTGATAAAGCGCCCCACGCCGTACCACCGCATAGCAAGAACATCTAAGAACTTAAACATCTTCAGAGAACTTGAAAGTCTTTCAAACTCAGACTTTAACAAGAACTGCTCAAGCCTCTGTGTCATCAAGGAATCGACCAATCCAACGAGGGCTTTTCCCAAAAGGACGTCACCCATACTCATTCCAACGTCAAAGCAACAGCCAATCAGCGAAGGAATTCCCCTCAACAGACATCCAGGAAGCCCGCTACAGCGACAGAATCACCTCTGCTTTCAGCTGTCAAGCCAAAGAACGCAAGTAACGAACAAAATCTTCAACTCAGCTGAACTGGTGTAGAATTGAATTAAACAGTAAAGATAAGACAATCGCTGCTTGGTGTTATCCTAGGCTGAATTTAAAACCACTCGCGAAACTTAATGCAACTCCGTCAACTCATTTCCTTGAATCTTTGTGTGTATGTGTATGTTTTAGTTAGGTTTTTATGTAATCTAGATTAGCCAATAAAATTCATGTTTCATTTATAAAGAAGAAGTTCTTGGTTCATATAATTTTAAGGTTAAACCTATGCCAAAAAGATCCTTGCTTGCTACTTATCTCGTAGCTTACTTATAATAATTACCTCTTTCAAGAGCTGACAAATCATCATAACCGTATTTCACCCGTGGCCAGGGAGAATACAAAAGTTACATATTCAATTGGTAATATACACTGACATCAACTTCTCGCTGGCCGAGTAGCTGATAAAAGTATAAACTATTGAAAGTCAAAGTCAGTTTTGATCAGGTGGACCTCGAATTCTCAGATCGAGTTCTTTTAAAACCTGAGCTAGAAATAAACCTGAATGTGGTAATAATCATTAATTCCCTATAATTACAAATTAATAATGAATAAATAAATGATACAGGTCATTACATAAGTTACCAGCCATCTGGCAAGTAACACCCTTTTCATACACTTGCCAGAGCCGCGTTAATTTTGGACCCTAGCCAAGATGCTAAGGGTGTCCTGCACACGGCTGCTAGATGCTATGCTGCTAGCTTGTGCAGTGCTGTCAGAAGCTATCTTTGAAAATGCAGCAGTTTTAGTAATTGTTTCTGGCCGTTTCAATCTATGAAAAAATGCCTGCGAATGTTGTTTTTGTCTCTAGTTCTGGAATTCCATTGAGAGCAGAAGCCACTTTTTTTTTTTTTTTACAAAATTCAGCTGCCATTTATTGTGGTAGCATTTTGTTAATTATTGTATGTAAAACCATTACCTCAGTATCTCCAGCTGACAGTTTGGACTCTTCAGTCCATCAGAAAGAAGCTTCACTCCAGAATCCTGCAGGTCATTGTTACTCAGGTCCAGCTCTCTCAGGACAGAGTTTGAGGATTGTAAAACTGATGACAAACTCTCACAAGACTGAGCAGTGAGATTACAGATGGAAAATCTGAATAAGAAGAACACAGTAACTTGTGTACAGAATAAATCTTAACAGTGTGGTTTTTTAATAATTA